AAAAAAAAAAAAAAAAAAATTTAAATTTTTTTTTAAAAAAGTATAACATTCATATAGAAAACGTACACAGGTGGGGCGCGGTGGCTCATGCCTATAATCCAAGCACTCTGAGAGGCCAAGACGGGTGGATTGCTTGAGCTCACCAGCTTGAGACCAGCCTGAACAAAAGCGAGACCTCGTGTCTACTAAAAATAGAAAAACTGAGGCAGAAGAATAGCTTGAGCCCGAGTTGGAGTCTGCTGTGAGCTGTGATGCCATGGCATCTATCCAGGGTGACAGCTTGAGACAGACGGACAGGACAGGACAGGATAGGACAGGAAAGGAAAAGTACACAAATAGAGCTGAGAATTGTAGTATGTATCCATTTGAGCCCAGGAGTTTGAGGCTGTAGTGAGCTATGAAAGCACCACTGACTAAACCTGGGCAAAAGAATGACATTCCATGTCTAAAGCATAAATAATAAGAAAAAAAAAAAAAAAAGAAAGAAAATATAAGAATACACATACAGCTCCAGCTCCACAAAACTGAACAAACTTGTGAAACTGCACCCCAGAATCCCTATGTTCCATTTTGGTCTTTATGCAGCACCCCTGTAGAAAGACATGATCTTGACTTCTAAGTAACTATAGATTTTTAATGGTATGTATTCATAATATAATATACTATAAGCCTACCACAATCAAAAAATATAAATATTTCTCAGAATAAAATTCAACTAGTTTCTTAGGGAATAAAACTATACTACAATATGACTCAGTTATTTTTAAAAGTTACAAATAATACATATATTAAAAAACAAACTAAGGCAATAATAATCTAAATTATTAAAAGCCATTAATTTCAAGTGGTAGAAAGTTTCTAAGTTTCTACAAAGGGCACATATTAGTTTGATGACATAGGAAAAGGGGTCTTGAAATATACCCTCAAGCATAGAATTAAATAGTTCAAGCAAAGCTGCAGGCATGAAGTTATTATATGAAAAACATCTGTCAATTTTAAAAATAACATGGCCAAGATAGAAAAGAGACTGACGATATAACTGCAGTCACCCCTTCACACACCCAAAACCTGAGCAAACACAAAACCTAAAAATATTTTTTGTGGCATCACTTCTGTCCTAACCCACACACCTATCTTAAGTCTTTTAGCCTACGCTTCACCTTTCCTGGAATTTTTTCTTCTCGGAGCAAGTTCTTTTTCAAAATCCAACCTTAAATCCCACCATTAAATTTGCTACAATCAGGTTTCACAGCACAGCTACAAAAATGTGAGAAGTCTACCAGCAAAAGAGACCCATAGGTTCAAGACTAACTTCTACATTACAACCAAACTTTGATAACTGAAAAACTCTCAAAGTTCTCCCAACTTCAATTGTAAAATGGAGTTTGTGTAAAGATTAATAGGAAAAATGTACACAAATATTTTGTACAGGTATAAGCCTTATAAATATGGGGAAATATGTCTATTTATCCACTCAAAATATTGAGTCATAAAAAGGAACTTTTGGCTGTAACTCAAACACCAGTACACATATACAATCTTTTGGCTGTAACTCAAACACCAGTATATATAAAATCTCAAATCTTCTGCTAACACTCTATAATATTCTCATGTACATAAAAGTTACTTCTAGATCTTTTAGCAAGGAAGGGATTATGATGGAAAACAGCACCCTGACATCATGTTTACTATAATACATTATTCCTAAAAAGACTATGGTTCTTATTCAGTTTTTATTCATTTCTTTCCATGACCAAGAATTTATATTGTTTATCCTTCACAGTCTAATCACAGGCTTACAAAAAATTTCTAATTAATCTTTTCATCAAAATTCTTAAGAGTAAAAGTGAGAATTCTGCCACCATAAGAACAAGAAACTGAAAAGTCAAACTTAACGTAAGGGCTACAAGTTTTACATGAAAATGAAAAGAAGAATCATGACAGCGTAGTATTGACAGAAGAATGGACAAATGGGCTGGGCACAGTGGCTCATGCCTATAAGCTTAGGACTCTGAGAGGCCAAGAAGGAAAGATCACTTGAGCTCAGGAGTTGAAAAACAGCCTGCGTAAGAGTAAGACCCCCATCTCTACTAAAAAATAGAAAAATAGAAAAAATTAGCCAGATGGTGGCTATAGTCCCAAATATACTCAGGAGGCTGAGGCAGGAAGAGCACTTGAACCCAGGAGTTTCAGGTTACTATGTACTAGGCAGACACCATGCCACTCTACCCTGAACAAAAGACTTTGTCTCAAAAAAAATGTTTTTAAGTTGAATTAATAAATAAAAAGAATGAATAATTCAGCAGAACAAAACAGAGAACAGAAATAAAACAACTTAAATATAGTCAACTTACCATTTATCAAAGAAACAGAGGCAATATAATAAAGATAGTTTTCAC